TGGGGGGGGGGGATGATGTTACGAGATAGAGGCAGGGCTGTGCGTTCCCTCTCCTCCACTCTTTGGAACCTGGTATCCCCAGTTGAGCGCAGGGGGTTTGCTCCTTCACCTCCATCAAAGTACACCTGGGACCCCTTTCACCCCCAGACCTGTGCATGGTTGGAGTGCCTGGGGGGGGGGAGATCCGTAGCCCTGAGAATGAATCAGATCTCACAGGGTTTCAGTCAGAGGGTTGAGGAGCTTGGAAAGGACCAGTAAAGTTCAGAATAAAGCCTGGAGCGGATTTGCCACCGCCCCCTGAAGTTGGAAGGGCCCTGTTTGTCCACCAGCCCAAAGTCTGTCTGCCTGTGTGGCGGGGCAGTCCCTACTGGCTCTCACCCCTCCTCTACCCTCCACGGAGGCCTTTTTCTCTGGGGGCTTCTCCAGGAACCCGGGGGGGGGCTTCTATAGCCTGACTGCTTGGCGGGCCCATTGCTGTTCGTCTTGCGGAGCGTGTGCACACACACAGCGTGACCAGAAGACGGTGCCTGCCTTCACAGGGTCCTCATATTGATGGGGGGGTGCCACCACCTCTTGACCACTGCCTGAGCCCAGGGACTGGCCCTCTAGGTAACCCTCGGGGGGGGGCTCCTTGCACCAAGCATGGAAGGGGGAAAGGTAGGTCTTGGTGCAACGTATAAGGACCATCCTTCTGGGCATCCAAGAACAGTGCCAGATATTACAAAGATCCGTGTTTTCCCCTTTTCCCCAACAAGAAGCGGTCAGCCTCTAGCTGCGGGGAGGGGCATCACCAGTGCTGTCCCCTGGACCCGATCTAACCCAAGATTTCCCCCCCCTCGCACTCGATCCCTGCAGCCTTCGAGAGCCACTCTGGGGGAGAAAATCACGTTTTCCTTCTTCCTTCCTTTCTTTTGAGGCCTGGGTCCGCATGCTTCCTTAACCCCTTAGACCAGGAGTCCCCAGCCTTGGGCCTCCAGATGTTCTTGGACGTCAACTCCCAGAAATCCTGGCCAGCAGAGGTGGTGGTGAAGGCTTCTGGGAGTTGTAGTCCAAGAACATCTGGAAGCCCGAGGTTGGGGACCACAGACAACCCGACCCTGTAGCCACGCTGGGCACACATGGTCAAAGTCATTTGGACTGTGCCCCAAAGTGGAGTGGCAGAGATGGGGCAGGAAGGTTTCAGGTGCCTGCGAGGCTTCGCCGGAGTCCCATAATAATCGTTGCTGCTAAATTGTCTCAATAGTAGCCACAGCAGTAGACGCCCATGGCCCCTCAAATGCAAGCTGGCTTAATTTTGCATAAAATAACTCTCATAAACGGGAATCCACTTCCTTTGGCATCTTTGAGAAGGTCCTGAGAAGACCCACTGTTGCTTTTCTTTTTCCCCCTCAGAGGAGAATCAGGGTTCCTCAGAAAAAAACGACAAAAAAAGCAGATGATCTTCCCATAAAACTGAGCTAAAGGCAGAGGCCGGGTTTCAGGCTTGGCTACCAAACCGTGTATTTGGCCCCACGGAAGACCGTGAGGCACCCATTTAAGAGAAGGAAGCCCAAAAAAAAGCAAGGGAGGGTCGGCCTCTCTTGAGATTGGCCATGGCAATCCTCTGAGGGTGGCTGGGGAACTGGTCCTGGATTTCTGGTACACTGCACCTGCCTGCGGAGGCTCCATTTAGGTTCCGCGCCTCATGCCCATGATTAGCGCACTCTCAACAAGAAGGGCAGCGTGCGTGGGTGGGTGGATCCCCTTCTTTCCTTGCAACCCAGCTTTTCCCGAAAAGCAATTTGCAGGTATTTGTTCGGGGTGGCTGAGGAAGCCCCAGACAGAATAGAGAGAGACGGGGAAGCCTGCAAAGAATTAATCGAAACGCACAGAAACCAGACAAGATCCAAAGAAACAAACCCAGGATAAAAACACTTGGCACCTGAAAGACGAACTATTATACAGTATTTTATATAAACACAGAGGTTTCCTCGCCCTCTTGTGGGCGCTTCGCAAGAGTTGGGAAATTTGGTCCCCAACCTGCTTCATGCGTCAGGATTCGCACTGGGCCCCCCTCAACCTTCGGTTCTCCCCTTTCTCTCTCTCTCTCCCCCCCCCCCCCCAAATGATGCAGAGAACCAGTTCAGGATGTCCATCTTGGAGCGGCTGGAGCAGATGGAGCGAAGGATGGCTGAGATGACGGGGTCCCAGCAGCACAAGCAAGGCGTCGGTGCAGGAGGCGGGGGCAACGGCAGCAGCGGTGGAGGCAGCGAAGCACAGGTGTGTCCTCCCGGGGCATCCTGCGGCAAAGGGTTCAGACCTCCTGCACCCTCCCCGACATGGTCTCTAGAAGTCTTACCTGCCCCTTTCCCCCTCTCTACCTTGTCAAGCTCAAAATAGGCTCTGCAAAAAGCAAACCATCCTACAGAGGCTATTCCTGCATCCAGTGGCAGTGAGTTCCTGGAGCAAACTTGGTGCTCTCCGGACCTCCTGCCCAGCCACTTCGTTAGGCGGACCCCAGGGTCGAAGCCAGCCAAAAACTTCCTCCTTTGTGTCACAAGTTAATTTTTTTTTTTTTACAAAAGGAACTTCCCAGCCCTGCTTTTTCACATCCTCCCGGAGAAGGGAGGCCAGATATTTTAAATCTTCAGGTCGAGGAGCTGTTTTTCCAGATATGTGCGGAGTTGGCCTCATTGGTTTCATCATTAACTTTTTTTTGGTGCTGCTTTTAGACCATCATGAGTATTATATAACGTATGTTATGTAAACCGTTCTGGGCACTACATGTATGACTGCTAGGCTTTATTTACAAGGTGGCGAAAATGAATTCCGATTATAACGGCACATTTCCTGTGTTAATGTTGTGAACGGAAGCTGTTGTGTTATGTTCACAACACTGAGGATGGCCCAGATGAAGTTTTTTTTCTTTCATTTACCAGTTGGTAGCAAAGAAGAGGAAAGCTGTAGACCATGTCAGGGTTTGGGCAGACCAATGGAAGGTGATATAGCCCTAAGCAAGTCAACATGGAAGGCGATATAGCCCTAGCAAGTCAACATGGAAGGTGATATAGCCCTAGCAAGTCAACATGTGTCATAGCATTACAGAGCCGGAAGGGACCCGAGGAGGTCATCCAGTCCACCCTTGAGGAAGCAGGACATCCACAGATTAAACATTCCTGGCACGGGTTCTTCTTTGAACCCCACCCCATGAAGGAGAGGCCCACACCCTTGTCCCCAGCATTTGTCTTTGTAGGAGGTGCACATCTCTGTCCAGAAATGGGAAAAAAAGCTGCATTTTCCCAATAGAGAAATGTATAAAAATTACAAAGAATCAGAGAATCATGAAGTTGGGAGGCGCCTCTGAGGCCACCGAGTCCCACCCCCTGCTCAAGGGAGGAATCCAAATCAAAGGATACCATGAACAGAGAATGTGAAATCCCTTTTGTTGACTAATCAGTCAGTGTGTGGGAGAGGCTGGGCTTCATTTTTCCAAGGGATTGTGTGGACGCCGAACTTGATTCTGAAGAGGTAAGGTCTTATCACTCTCTAACTGCGAAGCTGCCCCTTTGGCCTTCTTGGCTGTTCCCGTCCACACCCCCTGCTTCTGCTTCCTCCCCAGAAGGTCCCTAACTCTCTCCCTCCTTTGCAGTGTGTCTCAGGGACGGCCCCCGCCGGCAACTGCTTTGAGAGCCGCGTGGTGGTCGTGTGCGAGAAGATGATGAACCGGGCCTGCTGGGCCAAGTCGAAGCACCTCATCCACTCCAAGACCTTCCGGGGCATGACCCTCCTCCACCTGGCCGCTGCCCAGGGCTACGCCACCCTCATCCAGACGCTCCTCAAGTGGCGGTAAGTCCCAGAGGCTGCCCTCCGGCTTTGTGGGAAAGGGAGCTCAGGCTTGGCAAGGGACGTGGGTGGCTAAGGATTCAGGGCCAGTCTGAGATGGGCCACATCCCAGGGGCCAGATTGGGCCTTCGGGCTGCTCGCTGCTGACCACCTTTCCTACTTTTGCCAGCTGGTGCACAGAGGCTTTGCCAACAGGGGGAGGGAGGTTCCTTGGGGGGGGGGAAGAATGCCCGTCCATCCCCATCCGATGTGTCTGCTCCCGGCCACTGCCCTTGGACAACTTTGTGGTCCTGTGGCTTTTCTCCCTGGGGGGAGTTTTCTGATGCCTGTCTTCTCTGTCCCGGAGGTCAGGGTTCCCCCCCCCCTTTCCCTCCTCTTATTGACAAGGAGCCAACCCATGCACACACACCCCTTTTCCTCTCGCCTTCTCCAGCACCAAACACGCCGACAGCATCGACCTGGAGTTAGAAGTCGACCCTTTGAACGTTGACCATTTCTCCTGCACGCCGCTGGTGGGTAGCCGGGCCCCTGAACCCTGGCAAGGAAGGCCACCCCTGCCTTTTTGGGGAGGGGCGGGGAGGCTGAAGGGACTGGGGGTGGGGTGGGAGGAGGTGATTCCGGGTGGAAGGGCTGGGTGGGGTTTGCCTCTTTAAAGAGGGGCTCCGTTTCTTTAGCGGCAGAGAGGAAATAGGGGATGGATGCAAACGGGTGGCCACAGGGATTACCCAGCATCCTGCCGTCGTGCTAAACTCTCCTCCAAGGAGGCTGTGTTTCTCAAGGCGGGCATTCAGCCCGGCGGGGAGCCTGTGGGCAAGGGACCTCCCCCTGGCTCCCAGCTCCCAGCCCGCCTGACCCCCGTTTCCTTTCCAGATGTGGGCATGTGCGTTGGGCCACACGGAGGCGGCCGTGGTGCTGTACAAGTGGGACCGGCGGGCCATCTCCATCCCCGATTCGCTCGGCCGGTTGCCCCTGGCCATCGCCCGCTCCCGCGGCCACGTCAAGCTGGCCGAGTGCCTGGACCAGCTCCAGCGGGAAGAACAGGCCCAGCTCCGGCAGCCCTCCCGGATCCCCTGTCCTTCTCGTGAGGAGACCGGCGGTGAGAACTGGATTGCTCAGTGGCATGGAGAAATCATCGCCTCTCAGCAGGAGCCCCAGAAGGGGTTCACCGTGATTTCAAATTCTAATACAGGTAGGGTTCATGAATGGTGGCTTGTTAGTCCTGGCAAATCTCCCAGTCACGGGCAAGAGCCCAGGCTTCTCTGCCCTGCACTTTTCTCTGATTGGGAGATTAGCCAAGAGGGCGGGGCAGAGAACCTTGAGCTCTTGCCCAATCAGTTGAAGATGACGGAGGCGGGGCCTGCTGAGTGGCTGAGCCAAAAGAGGCAGGAGAAACGGAACAGCAGCTCCTGTCCTGCCGCCTTGACGAACTGAGGCGAACTGGTTCGTGCCCATCTCCAATATGTGTCCATGTCCATCTGCACCTTTCCTTTGGCTTCCCTGTGGTACTTCACACTTGGAGACTATCTGGGTGAAATGATCACAGTTTTTTGTTCCCTTTGAACCAGGAAGTGGAGGATCTGGGGTCCCAGTGTCTCCCAATACTGGTAATTCTTGTTTCCCAGTTTGGATAGATGGAAGGCACAAGAAATTGGTTAATTGACTCAGGAAGCCTGGTAGCTGGGGTCTAAGTTATGCACTAACTAGTTTAGGTGGGCTCTAAGGTAGACACCACCTTTGAAGTACCATTTTCTAAGTTCCTGATATTATATTTGGACAGTTCAATACATTTACACGTTCCATTCATAAATACTACAGAGTACTATATGAGTTCATACTCCTCATTGTTATCACTTTGAATTAGGCAATAATTATTTATTATGTGGCTAAAACCTTATAAAACGAACAGCACTTTTTTCCCCTACTTCCTTATCAAGAAGCGAACTACTTAAAACAACATTCATCTTTTTTCTCCTTTTACCCTGTTTTATAAAAGCTTCTTCTCCACAATAGCTGATTCTCATTTGTTTAACACAGGTTTCAACATCTATTTTGTAGTGTTTCTTTGTTAATTGACATCATAGGTCAAGCGGCAAATTAATTGCACTCTGTTTTTTTTCCTCTATTTGCATAACGTAAGCATTGCTTTTTCCATCCCAAAAACTGGTACGAAATGAATGAGATGCTTCTACCTTCTTATCTTATTCGTTATTTTGTGTACTGTAAACAAATGGCTGTCAGGCATACAATTTTCCCCAGTTGTATTTTTTTTTCCCCAAAACTGCTTTTGCTTTTTAATGCATTTCACTGAGGCACTTTTTAAAAGGACTTTTCAATTTTAGGGCACCAGTTTTGCACCCCATAAAATCGATCTTTTCAACTCTTAACAAGCCCATTCAGTCCTGATTAAGAGAGCTCCCTTTGCTTTCAGAATTGAGGCGGCCTCGGTCAGAGCCCTCCAGTTACTACAGCAGCGAGACCCACAAGGATTACCCAGCACCCAAAAAACACAAACTGAACCCCGAATATTTCTCGGCTCGTCAGGACAAGCTCCTCTCCACCGCCCTGAGCTTGGAGCACCCGAGCTCCCGGAAGCTGAGTCCTGCCGCGAAGGCCTCCCTTCTGGAGACAATCAGCACCAGGCCGATGGGCCGGGACTACGCTCGGGAGCCGGTCCCCGACGTGGCCGCCTACCGTGGAAGCTCCGGACTCAAATGGAGCCCCAAGGAGGCCTACATGGTCGGCGTGCCCGGGGGGCAGGTGGCCGGCAGCCCAAAGGGACTCGGGGGCAAGGACTCGGGGGTTGGGCGCCTGCACCCACGGGGGGAATCCATGGGAGTGCTGATGATGGCGGACCGGGAAGCCGCTGATGCGGAGCTGCTGGCCTTCCGGGAGAGCACGGAGAGCGAGGACTGCTTACACCACGTGGATGATTTGCAGGTGAGTGGGTGGGTTGCAGCTGGGGCCCGCCTTGTGCCCAAGAAGGCAGGCAACATTTCAGAACCAGGGACCCTTGGCCAGGGAGACACACCCCACCTGAGGATGGAAGGGCTAGTAATAAAAATCACAAATCGCCGGTGGAATGATTGAACTGAACCATACTGGTGTTTCATAAGGGTTGTGGAGAGTTGAGGAGCTGCCAGGACATGTCTTCGGCCCTGTGCCCGGGTCACGCGTCCCAATTGTGTGATTCGGATCTGCCCCAGCCCCTCTTTAATTAGGCGCAATTAGCCAGGGCAAGTTCCGAAGACCTTATGTGAACACCAGCCGCTTCCCGCCATGACAGTAACACCTTGCTTGGTGTTCAGGAAGCATCCCAAGAAAAGACACCGTTAATCGAACGTATTTTAGGGGTCCCATCTACCTCCAGGATAGAGTAAGTAGACCAGGCGGCAGGACTCCTGGAGGTCTGGTCTACCTCCATGCAGCACTCTTAGGCTGCAGGTCTCCCAGGTCCTTGGTCAACCCCAGTTTGAATAAACAGTGGCAAACCTGCAGACTAGGATAAACGCAATCAGAAATGTTAGTGCTGTGGTTTAAGAGAATAAGATGTTCAGCTCTGCATTCTTGGGTAAGAAACAGTTGCAAAGATTGGAACAGAATTCCGGCCAGCTTCTCGAGAAGGTGTTCCAGTGCACCTTTGAAACTCCTAAGGATTCTGGAGTAGTAGGTGGACAGGCAAAGATGCCGGAGGGTTCCCCTGATTTTGGGGTCAGGGCAGGGTTGAGGTCTACAAGACTCAATGTGATGATTCAAAGTGAGTGAGATGGAGCATGGTGGTCTGGCTATTTTTGTTCCCGAGCACGGCGAAACCCTCTGTATCTTGTAGTAGAAAACCTAGGGGGTGTTTTTTTTTTAATTCAAGGAAAAGAAAAAAGAAAGGGAAGGGAAAGAAAAATGAGAAACATTTTGGACCCAATCACTTCCAGTTTCCAGTGGTTGACATACCGAGAGGCTTTGGGCCTGCCCAGATGGGCCTTTCTGCTATAGCTTTGCTTTCTGCCTCTGGTTTAGAGCCGGGGCTGGGGTGGGTTGGCCACGGGGACATTCCTGGGACCCCTAAAACCGTGGATGCGGCTTCATCCTTTAGGGAAGGATCCGTAGCCTTGTGCCTCCTGCTATGGCACCCCTTCCTCCATGGCAGAGTGGTGGGGGGGATCTGTTCTGGTGGGAGAGAAAGCACGCAGGTGGTGGGCCACTGCCCCTCCCTCCTCCCCGAGATACAGATAGGTGGTGGGCCACTGCCCCTCCCTCCTCTCCGAGATACAGATCGAGGGTCTCTCTCTCACACACACACACACACACACACACACACACACACAATAAATAATAACCGCTCACCCCCGTTGCCACCGCCTCCTCCTCCTCGCAGGTGACCATGATGACGCTGGCCGAGCACATCATCGAAGCCACGCCGGAGCGGATCAAACGGGGGGAGACCTTTGTGCCGGCGGAGACACCCTTGCCTGCCGAGAGGACGGAGGGCTCCCCCTTTGGCTCCTCCATGAGCTGGCTGGCCAGTTACCTCGCGGATGTGGAGCATTTACCGACGGCCACTCAGATCAGGTCTGTGGGGACTCTCTCCCCGGGGCTGGATGGTCTATGTGCCTTCGGCTGCCTAAGAGTTTTGCAGTTTGCTGCTCAAAGGGGGGGAGGCACGGATTTGGCCATGGAGGAGGACCCTGCCGGAAGGGGTGACCCTCTTCTCCTTCCCTCTCGTGGTTGCAGAAGCCAGTACGGGGGACCCCTGACCTCTCCTTCCAGCAGCAGCCTCAGCCCCGCCAGCTCGCCCGTCGGCCACCTGGCTTTCGAGAAGCCCAGCCTCCCCTCGGCCACCGACTGGTCCGAGTTCCTCAGCGCCTCCACCAGCGAAAAAGTCGAGAACGAGTTTGCGCAGCTGACCCTCTCGGACCATGAGCAGCGGGAGCTCTACGAGGCGGCCAAGCTGGTCCAGACCGTCTTCAGGAAGTACAAGGTGGGCGCTGGGAGGAGGCGGCGAGAGCGCCGGCCCGGCTCCGAGGCGGGCGCCCCAGCATCCCTGGCCGGCTGGCTTTCTTGCCCCTGCTCCAGGGAAACGGGGAAGGCTCGGCCCGTCTGCCCAGCCCAGAAGGAAGGGAACCGCCTCCTTGGGGCAACAGGGCAGAACGGAGAAGGTGCCAAGGAGCGCTCCACAGAGGCACCCATACCTTTGGTCCCAGGTGCCTCTGGCCCTTTGTGGGGTGTCCCCCCCCCACACACACACACACATACACAAACTCCACAGAGGTGGTGGGCCTCCCACCCAGCTGCCCCTTAAGAAACAGAGGAGAGGCGCTTCTAGCGATTTCGGCATTCCTCATCCCTCCCTTGGGTCATTTTCAGAGCTCCGGTTGTCTTTGGGGGGGGGTCCNAAGGAAGGGAACCGCCTCCTTGGGGCAACTGGGCAGAGTGGAGAAGGTGCCAAGGAGGGCTGCACAGAGGCACTGATGCCTTTGGTCCAATGTGCCTCTGGCCCTTTGTGGGGTGTCCCCACACACACACACACACATACACGAACTCCACAGAGGTGGTGGGCCTCCCACCCAACCACCCCTTAAGAAACAGAGGAGAGGCGCTTCTAGTGATTTCGGCATTCCTCACCCCCCCCCCTTGGGTCATTTTCAGAGCTCCGGTTCTCTTTGGGGGGGGCAGGATGGTGCTCCTGAGGGTGAGCCTGGGAGGAGGTGTGCCTCAGCACCACCCTGGCTGATGAGGGCTCTCGGT